TGTGTGGAGGCCAGAGGACAACTTTCAGAAACCAGTACTCTCTTCCTATTCTGTAGATCCTGGGGCACTAAATTCAGGTTGGCAGTCTTGGTGGCAAGCAATTTTACCCACTGAACCATCTTGCCTGCCTGTTTATTGCTTTGAGGGGTGGGGGCTCATATTGCCCAGCTTGGCCTTAAACTTGCTATGCAGTTGAGGATGACCTTGATCTTCTTGATTTCGTGATCTTACTTCCATGTGCCCATGCTAGGATTACAGCACTGTGGCCCCATGCTCTCTTTTATGGGGTAACGGGGATTGAACCCAGGGTTTTTCTACATGCTAGGCAAGCACTCTATCAGCTGAATTAAATACCAGCCTGTGTGTGTGTGTGCGTGTGCGTGTGTGTGTGTGTTGAGACAGGTACTAATATTATCAGAATTTGTCTCAAACTTGCTGTGTAGCTGAGGCTGGTCTTGAACTCCTGATAATCCTGCCCCCCTCCTGAAGCTAGGAATACAGACATGCACCATCACACCAGGCTTTAAATATTTATACTGTTTACTTGATCAGCTAAGTCCTTGGCATTGTGCCAGATCCTTGGATAGAGCAGGTAGCAAGGGCTAAATTATTAAAGACAATTTTGGAGACTGATGTGGCATAAAATATAAATTCATATAAATTTATGCCCATTCATCCTATTTGCAGAATTTTTGTGTAGAAATAAGACCACCAGTTGTGCATTGAACATGAAAAATAATTTCTAGTCTATTGCCTGTTCTGTTTGTAGACACAGGAACTAGGAAACTACTGAATGTTCTTTAGAAAGAAACGGTTGAGCAATTGTGGTTTATATGCACCATGGGGCCTAATGCAGCCATTACAAAGGACAAGTGATAGCCATGGTTTGGGTGCAAGCCGGTAAGTACAACTTCTTAAATGACTGAGGCAGAAGGGTTGCCAGTTCAAGGCCTGTGAAACTTAGTGAGACCTAGTCTCAAAAACAAAAGAGAGGGTTGGGCATCATGGTACACTCCTTTAATTCCAGCACTTAGGAGGCAGAGGCGGGTGAATCTTTGTGAGTATGAGGATAGCCTGGCCTACAAATAGTGAGAGCCTATCTTAAAAAAATAAAATTAATTAATTAATTAGCACTGGTGATGTAGCGCCATAGTAAAAGTTCTAAATAGGATGGCTTTGGAGGGAGAGGTGTTCACAATTGATTGCTCCACGGTGAAAGGCAAAAATTAATTTCTTCAGAAAAATCTGGGCAGCAGAATCCTTGGAGGCATTAAGTGGCTGGGAGATTCATAAGTTGTCTCTATGTGTTTGTTTTCCCATTTTCATGTTTGTGTGCGTGTGCTATGCATATGTATACACCTTTGCACACATGTGAGCACATTGGGTGGGTACACATACATGTGGAAAGCCTGAGTTTTGTGTCAGGACTTGTCACCCTCCAGGACAAGTTTGTGGTCCTGCAGACTGAGCCCAGGACTAAGTGCTTTACCACTGAGTTCCATCTCCAGCCTCCTCCGGTTTGGTGTTATAAAATGTGCTACAAGCTGGGCAAGGTGGCACATGCCCTTAATCCCAGCACTCAGGAGGCAGGGGCAGGCGGTTTGAGGCCAGCCTGGTCTACAAAGAGAGTTCCAGGGCAGCCAGGGCCACACAGAGAAACCCTGTCCCAAACAACAACAAAGAAACAGAGAAAGGCCCTGAATGTGTCAATACTATCCTGTTGGACAAATTATATCCCCAACTTTGCCCTGCTTAACTGCTGAGCCTTTCACTTTTTCTCTTTTGAGGATGGGTCTCATGTAGGCCAGGCTGGCCTCAAACTCCTACGTAGCCAGGAATGACCTTGAACTGCTGATCTGCCTGCTTCCCTTCCATTATGCTGGGATTGCAGTCATGCACCACCATGCCCTGTTTTGTGAGGTGCTGAGTACTGAGTGCAGGGCTTCACACATACTAGCCTGGCACTCTACCAACTGAGCCACATTCATAGCCTTTCTCTGGCCAGGCTTCTTGCTGGGCTGCTCAGAAGGCAGGGCAGATTTACTGGTTAGTTTTTATTGTCAGCTTAACAAACTAGAGTCACCTGGAAAGAACCTCAGTTGAGGAGTTACCTGGATCAGCTTGGCCTTTGGGCATGTCTGTAGGGAATTTTCTTGTTTGCTAATTGATAGAAGAGGGTCCAACCCACTCTGAAAGGTACCATCCCTAGGCAGGGTATAAGCACTGTTCCTTCTCCCTCATGGTTTCCACTTCAGTTCCTGCCCTGACTTCCCTCAGTGATGGACTATAACCTGTAAGCAGAAATAAACCATTTCCTCCCCCCAGTTTGCTTTACTTGTGGCAAATGAGGGCAGCAGGTGTGTGTTCAAGAGGTAACATGTTTGTGTTCCAAATAGCTGAGGACCTTGGGGTGACACAGACCCAGATGCAACATGATGGTGCAATTTTAGTGCTAGGCATTGATTTGGGAAGGCAGGATGCCAGGAGAGCTGGAGAATTGGGACTCTCAGGGTTTCACTGTCACAGTCCAGTGCTCACACTCCAGACCAATTCTAAAGCATTGTGTGCTGTACCTCACTTGAGCCCTCCCTCAAAGCTAAGGCAACCACTATTATTCTCCATTTCACAGATGATAAATACAAATGGTAACTTGCAACTCAGAAAGTACTGAGTATGCACCTGCAAAGTTGGGACACAATGGCCTGCCCCGCACACACATCATGCAAATTGCTAAATACAGGCAAGGTCCTTCCTTCTTCAAACTCACAAATCCACCTGTCTCTGCCTCCCATGTGCTGGGATTAAAGCTGTTTGCCACCGTGCCCAGCCCTGAGACAGGCACTGGAGCTTCTTGTCTTAGTCTCAGGACCATGATGAGTCAATACTGGGACAAGTGGGAGCAAGTGAAACAAAGCAAGCAAAATTAAAGAGGGAAACGAGAAAGTCAGGGCAGGAGGATGAGAGAGACTCTTAAGAGTAGGAGGGTTCCAGGAGTGGGGAAAACTACAGAGCCACCGTGAGGTGCTTTTTCCAGGATCTCCAGCACATGCTAAGGAAGTTCCTCCTGAGACTGGTTATCACAGGTCAAGCCATGATGTCCACATGTTCTTGGCATGTTCCTGGGATGACCAGGTAGACAGTCAGGAACCCTTCATGCACTGCTTGTTCAGTCCTGGATGGTCTGAAGCCCCTCTGTCTATCTATGAATTGCATCTGCTGACCTTGGCTCCTCTGCTGGTCACTAGACCCGGCTGACCTTGCAGCGGTTGTGGGTCTCTGACCTTGGCTAGTGTCTCCTTGGCCTAGTGTAGTTAAACTATGTATGTTGTCTTTGTTCTCATCTTTTACAGGGACCATTTTCTCTTTACTGCCTACAGAAAACTAACTCCTGTCCACTTCCTTTCTTTCTTTTCTCTCTTTCTCCCATCCCTTCCTCCCTTCCTTTTCTCTTTGTGTGCACTCGAGAGTGCTCACACTACATATATGAATGCCATGGTACATGCCTCCTGAGTGCTGGGATTAAATGGGATTCACTATGTGGGTGTTGGGACTCCAACCCAGGTCCTCTGCAAGAGCAGCAAAAACTTTTAACCTCTGAACCACCTCTCCAGGTGGTTCAAGCCTCTCTGTTTGAGGCTTGTTTGTTGTTTGTTGTTTTGTTTCAGAGACAGGGTTGGCTGTCCTGGACTTGTAGGCTGGCCTCAAACTCACAGCACTCCACCTGCCTCTGCCTCCTGAGTGCTGGGATTACAGGAGTGTGCCACCACACCTGACTCTATTTTTGAGACAATGTCTATTGTAGCCCAGGCTGGCCTCAAACTCATTATATGTAATTTAAGGATGATCTTGACTTCCTGTTCCCACTGTCCCCACCTCCCAAGCACTAGGACCACTGGAGAGTGTCACCATCCTTCTTGCTCACCTTTCTGTCTTTCTCTGACAGTCTTGATTTGTAGCGCAAGTCTGACCTGGAACTGGAGATCCTCCTCCTTCAGCAACCCAAGTGCCAGCATGCCCATCAGGAAAGATCTTTCTAGCAAGACCCTGTGTTGAGGGCAAGGACATTCCCAAAAAGATCTCAGAGAAGGTGATAACAGCAGCATCAAGAGTCTAGGAAGTTTATCGTTCACCATGTTTACGGATAGAAATGTGTACACAGAGAATTCTCCCAGCTGGGGGGCTGCTTACATAGCAAGTGTGAGGCCCAGTCCCAGTTGCAGGGAGGCAGTGCCCAAATTTATCTGGAAAGAGGGTAAAGATTAGGACAATTGGGACAACAGGCACTGCCCCATCTTTCTGAGATCATTGTTCCCCACACCAGCAGGGGAGACTGGCATCACAGATAGCAGAGCAAAGAACCTGCATCCAGCATTATCAGAGAGCCACTTTGGAACCAAGCACACTGGCATATGCCTGTAATCCTAGTACTTGGGAAGCTGAGGCAAGACTGACACAATTCTGCCATGATTCACGATTTGGAGGCCAAGCTGGACTACAGACTGAGGAGGGTATGGAGGAAAACCAGGGGAGGTGTGGTGGGCATATCTTTAATCCCAGCAATCCCAAAGCAACAGCAGGTGAGTTCAAGGCCAGCCTGATCTACATAGCGTGGTCCAGGATAGCCTAAGTTACAAAGTAGGGCCGTCTAAAACAAAAAAGGAGAGACGGAGGGAGGAGGATGGAACCACATAGATCTACAGTAAACTCAAGATTCTTCCCTCAAAGCACCAGGGCGGGAGGCCCCCTTCTCTACCTCCCACTCCCACCCTGGGGGGTGCAACCTGCAGCTATTGTGGAGACTTCAGAGGCCTGGCCTTCGCCCCTCCCCCTCCCACCCGCTAAGTTTAAGAGCCCTTGCAAACAGCTGGCCCTAGGGATCCTGATTTACAAGTCTCCTGACCCTTTAGTAGGGTGGTCTCTTTCTCTCCTATTAAGCTCCTCGCACAGCTTGGGAGGCCCTCCTGCTCCTCTCCCGTGCAGGTCCCCTCAGGGGTCGAGCCATGTCTAGCCCAGAGTCCCAGCAGCCTTCTCCCTCAGACACTCAGGTTCAGCCCAGGAGCTTGGGCCCCTGTCCAGTGGCTACTTCCCCAGTGGTCCCACCCCGCCTAGCTCAGGGACGCTTGGAGTCTTCCTTCTCTGTTGAGGCTATCCTGGCAAGACCTGAAACCTGTGAGCCGGCTGCCACCCCTCTGCCGCTCTCTACCTGCACCAGTCTGAACCTCAGCTCTGTGTCGCAGTACCCGGTCCTGCCCTGGGTGTGCTCTGCAGCCACTTGGCTGCCCGCCTACCTAAGCATGGACATCTACCCGCTGTGCTCCACGTCCTGCGTGCCAGGACTGAACGTGGCTCGCCTCCTGTGCCAGCAGGGCCTCAGCCTCACAGGTACCGGGATGGAGCTTGGAAGTGGTGGCAGAAGGCTTCAAAGGGAATCCTAGAGTTAGCCAGGGGTCATGGTGTATTCCTGTAATCACAGCTGCTGTGGGTTCATAGCTGTAGCAATCCTGTCAAATCCAGAAGACAGCTTTTCACAGCATTCCTTCCCATTCCCCTGTCTCTTTCATACCTCTTTTTTTTAAATCTATATTCATGTGTGCAGGTGAGTGAACATGGAGAGTCAACATCAGGTGTCTTCCTCAATACCTTCTCAGAGCTCTTTACAAGTACAAGCAGTTGTAAGCCATTGGAACTAAACCCAGGTCCTCTGGAAGAGCAGTAATTGCTCTTAATTGCCAAGTTATCTCTCTAGCCCCCTTCCAACTTGATTTTGAGATGGGGCCTCTCACCCAATCTGGAGCTCTCCAATTGGCTTAATTGGCTGGCCAAACACCTCTAACTTCCTCCTGTTTTCACTTCCTCAGCCCTGCCCCCCCCCCTCGCTTTTTGTAGCTTTGGTGCTAGGAATCAGAATTCAGGTCCTCGATTTTGTGCCATTTACTGAGTTATCTCCGCAGCTCTTTTGGGGTGGTTTCTATATGGCTTTTTCCATTCTGTCCTATGGTACCTGACCAAGGAGAAGGGAGTGCTTTGTGTCTGGGAGTTTTCTCTCTTCCTCTCTCCCCCTATGTTGTGTGGGCAGGTGGCTGCTGGCTGACTTCCTCTGCTCTTGGTTGTTCTTAGGCTCAGAGATGCCTTACTGTTCAGGCCTCTGGAGCCCCCTGGAATGGGCACCTACGGTGGACCTGAAGGACGCCGAGAGACACCGAAAGAGGGTTCGTACAATGTTTAACTTGCAGCAGCTGGAAGAGTTGGAGAAGGCATTTGCAAAGCAGCACAACCTGGTGGGAAAGAAGAGAGCCCAGCTTGCTGCCAGGCTGCACTTGACGGAGAACCAGGTGAGAATTGGGACCTGAGGCTCAGGCTGTGTAGGGGACAGTCACCACTTTCTAATAGGCTAGTAGTAAGGGGTGGGAGGAAGACATTCCCACTGGACTAGGATGGGGAGATAGGCTCTATTTTTGTTGTTGTTGTTGTTTTTTCACATTCCCTATGTAATTCCTATTTGGAGTCACATTATAAACATAGCATACTATTACTCTAGTGCTAGCTCCTTTTTATTTTTCCTTTGTGTGGTCTGCATATGCATGTTTTTGCGTGTGTGTGTGTGTGTACATGTGGAGGCCCGAAGTTGGTGTTGCTCATCTACATTGTTCACCAAGGCAGACTCTCCCAATCAAACCCAAAGCTAGCCAATATGGCTAGTTTCACTGGGCCAACTTGCTCTGGGATCCTATCTCTGCCTGCTGAGGCTGGAGTTACAGGTGAATCCCTTGGCATTTATATAAGTTCCTGACAATCTGAGCTCTGGTCTTCAGGCTTTCCTAGCAAGTCTGAGACTTGAGCCACCTGAGATGCATCTCCCCAGCCTCCTCTAGCACTTTCTGATTGTTTTCATGTAAATAAGGGGCTGTCAGCAAGCCAAGTAATTATTCAAGAGACTCCATATTTACAAAGTGACTGTCCCCTTGATCCCATATTCTCCTGCTACTGTGCCATTGCTCCACTGCATTTGTAGGCAAACTTCTATTCACTCTCATCCTGTCCTCACCTCCATTCACTCTTTGTATTTCTCTATGTGTGTGTCTATCTGTTTTGAAACAGGCTCTCGTGTATCCCAGGCTGGTCTCAAACTTGCTACATAGCTGAAGATAATCTTGAACTTCTAGGTCTCCTGCCCTCAACTCCCAAGTGCTAAGATGACACACATTCACCATGGTGCTGAGTGTCAAGCCCATAGCTTTATATGTGCTGGGCTAGTGCTCTGTCAGTGATCTACCTTCCAGCCTACTGTTATCTCTTGAAGTCATTCCAACATGATGATTTTACCTCTGTTTCTTCAAAGCATCCTTGTTGTCAATGCCAGCAAACATGTTCCTCCCCCAGCTGACTCCTGAGCATCACAGCGCTCAGGATGAATGACTACACCTTCCCCACTTTGACACATTCTCTTCTTGACCTTCCTCACACTTCTGTGGTCATTTCTGTCTCCTTTCTAGGCTACTCTTACCCTTGGGACTTCATGCCAGCTAGCCTCACCAAAAGCCATGGTTTGAAATACCATCTCTAAGCTGATGGCTCAAATTTATATTCTCAGTCCAACCTAGGGATTGAAGCTTATCCTAAGGCAAATTCCCTACCACTAAGCTATATCCTCAGTGCCAATCACCCTTTTAAACTCTCCATTTACATGTCTCTGGGAAGCCATTGCAAACTTGACAAAACCCTAATTCGTAATTGTTTTTCTTCCCTAAATCTGTTCCTCTCCTCATCCATGGTCACCGCCCCCCCCTCCCTGGGAGTTGCTCAAAAATTGTCATCCTAGACTCTGTCTGTCTTCCTCCCACTTCTAACCCTCAACAAGCCTTGCCCTTTACCTCTGAACTACAGATAGAATTGCTTGCACTTTTCCAGTGCCCTTCCTTTATATTTCTATATCCCTAGCTCCCTCTGAGTTGCTACAACCCAGCTGTCTTCATGCCTCTGCCTCTATTCAGCCTCCACATACAAGCCAGTTATGCAGTTACTTCAAGACAGTGTCATGTCCCACTTACAAGCTCCAAAAGGGACTCTCCCTCTCTGTGGCCTTCAGAGTCCTGGCCCTTGCTGACCTCTCACTTTCCTGCTCTTTCTCCCCTGCAGCCATGCTCTTCTTTCTGGTCCTCACCTTGAGTTTGATGACAACTGAAAGCCATTCCATAGGCTGTTCCCCTACTCTACCCAGCCTGCTTCTCTCTGTCCCTACCAGGATAGACCTCATCTTCAAAGAGCTCACCTATAAAGTAACTTTTATTTGCCTATGGTAATTGTCATCTTAGAGGCTTACTGCATCTGTCTGCTAACCCAGGCCTAGTCCTAGAAGCCCCTAGCCTCCATACAACCTAATCTAGGCCTAGAATGCTTTCAGACTCT